GCAGACTTTGATTTCCTTCCTGGAAGGCTTTAGAGAGCAAGGAATCCATGCAGTGGTCTATACAACCACCTTGTGTTATGAAGAAGGAATCCATGCGGTGGTCTATACAACCACCTTGTGTTATGAAGAAGGAATCCATGCGGTGGTCTACACAACCACCGTATTTTATGAAGAAGGAATCCATGCGGTGGTCTACACAACCACCGTATTTTATGACGAAGGAACTCACAAACTGAATCGAAGTGGAGGAAATTACTTGTCTGAGTCATGAGTTAATTTGTGGCAGACCACCATGGACCAGAACTTCAAGTTTTGTCTCCCAAGTCAGTGTTCTCTCCTTGGCACCAGAGTTCATGTGTTTGCTTACTCACTAACTTCCAGTAAGGACTTCACTGAGTTGGTGTGGTTATAAGAGAATGCTCCAGGAGGAGCACTTTGGGAAGCCTAAAAGGGCTAAGCAGTAGCCGACAAATAGTGGGGCAAGAAAGTTGGAAAATTTCCCTCCATAGAGGAAAAATGCTTGCTTTCATCTCATGCTTTATTATATTCAACTTATATAAAACAAAGACAACGAAAGCATTGGTTTACAGAATCTGCAGCCAAAGGATTTAGAAGAAAGACCTTTCCACAAGCACTGTTCTTCACACATAGAGTGGGCAAAGAGTCGAGTTTTCATTTCGGTTGGAGAGATACATAGCCTATCAAGCCGATCTTTTTAATTTTCTTTTTCAGTAAATTATTTTATTGGAGGGCTCTTACAGCTCTTATAACAATCCATACATAACAATTGAATCAAGCACATTTGTTCATATGTTGCCATCATCATTTCCCAAACATTTTCTTTCTACTTGAGCCCTTGGTATCAGCTCCTCGTTTAATTTCCCCTCCCTTCCCCACCCTCCCATGTTCATGAAGCCTTGATAATTTATAAATTATTTTTATTTTCATATTTTGCACCGACCACTGTCTCCCTTCACTCACGTTTCTGTTGTTTATCCTCCTGGGGGGAGGGGGTTGTATGTTGATCATTGTAATCAGTTCTCCCTTTCTCCCTCTTCTTCCCCCAACTTCCCCCTATCCTCATGGTATAGCTACTCTCAGTATTGATCCTGAGGGGTTTATCTGTCCTGGATTCTGTGTGTTGACAGAGCTCTTATCTGTAGCAGTGTACATTGGCTGATCTAGCCAGGCTTGTAAGATAGAACTGGGGTCATGATAGTTAGTGGGGGTGGAGGGGGAAAACATTAAAGAACTCGAGGAATGTGTGTTTCCTTGGTGCTACACTGCACCCTGGCTGTCAAAAAATGCAAGCATTTGTAAGTGAAATCACATTTTTCAGTTATTTGACAAAGAACCTCAAACACAAAGATCTG